GCGGTGCGGGCCCTGCTGCTGCTCGCCGCCGGGTGAGGGCGAGCGGGGCGGCCCCGGGACTCGCCCGGCCCCGGGGGCTACGGGCCAGCCCCCCCCCTACAGCCACAGCCCCCACCGGGTGCCACGGGAGGGGCCGAGCGCCCCGAATGGGAGGGCGCCTTCTGCCCCAAATGGGGTTATTTAATTATATCTTTTTTTAACCCTTTTTCCCCCTCTCTCCCCAGGGCCATGGAGTTCCTGCCGCCGTTCCAGCGCCGGGTGCAGCCCGAGGAGCTGTGGCTCTACAAACAGCCCTACCGGGAGGCGGATCGCGTCCCCGCCCTGCCCATGGTCGTAAGTGCCCCCGCTCCCGGATTCACCGGGGCTTTTCTCCGGTTGCAAACTCTCCTTTTCAGCCAAAACCCACCGGCTGGAAGCCTGATACTGCCAATACCTGCGGTTCTTAACGCACTAGTGAAGGCACGAGGTATTATTGCAAATAAGACAGCGTTTACAGGCCGTTTTTGTCGGCTTTTTTAGGCTTTGCCATCCAGGGTTGCGTTTGGGGCTTCATCAAAGTTTGTTAAAACCAGCGGGAGCCTCTGGCTGCTGTTCAGTCAGTTTCAGGTCGGTTTCAGGGTGGCCGTGGTGGGGGCTGCAGCCTGGCTGGCACCGCAGGGAGCGGTTTGCTTCAAAGCAGGGATTTTCAGCAAATCTTTAGTATGATTTGATTATGAAGATGTTTTCCCTGGGTCTCTAGGACGTGTTGAAAGGGTTTAATCTAAAAGAGTAAATACTGGATTTCAAGAGGGTGATGCTCTGCTCACAGGGGTGTCTGTGGGACCTGCAGCTCCTGCCTTGGGCAACCACCCTCCTTCCTGGCCAACCCCACTGGTGATTTTCTGTGAGATTTGGGCACGGGGCTTTTCAGCTTTAAAAGCCAAACCCCCGGGGTGGTGTTTGGGTTTGGTGGTGGCAGCAGGACGCGTGCTGGACTTGCAGGGGTCAGCAGCCTCCTCCAGGAGCCTGTCAGACCCACCATGGACCCCCCCGGGGGGGAAATCCCACAGCCGGGATCGCTGCCGAGATGTTGTGAAGGAGAACCCCTTCTCTCTGAATCAGCAGCTCCCGTGGGTTTTGCTGACGAGGGGCAAAGAGCTGACAAAGAGCTGATCCCTGTAGGGCTGGGGACAGCGAGGTGCTGTGAGGGGACACCCACAAGTGGGAGGGGAGGGACAGGGAGCCGGCCCTGGCAGCACTTTCCTGCCAGAGATGCTGTTGGAGAGGCTGAGGATGGGCTGGGTGTCTCTCAGAGGAGGGAAGGCTCCGCTGAGCCTGCGAAGAACGGGCAGGAGTGGGGTGCAGGGGGGGCTTTTTAGTGCTCTGTGGTATTTATGCTGCCTGGGGGCTTTGTCTTATGCTTCTACAGGCAACATCCAGCAGCCCAGGGTTTTCTACGTGAGGGGCTGCTGTTGGGTGTCAGACGGGGGGAATAGCCGTGCTCTGGGGAGCTCAGGGGTGGTCGGGGTTTGCTGCAAACACAGCTGGGGTGGGATTTGTTCCTGGGAGAAGCGTGGTGTTTGGAGAGGACAGGTCGCTGCCTGGCTTTGGGGCAGGAAAGTGCAGAGTCTCTTTGAGCAACTGGGATTGTGCTCTGGGCAGAGCTCACCCCCGCCGCGCTGACAGACCCCCAGCAGCCCTCTTGTCTCCTGCAGTTCATCGCCTTCCTGTCCCCCCTGCTGCTCATCGTCCTGGCGAGGGTGTTCATGGATGCTGACCGAGAAGACACGCGGGAGGCCTGCCTCGGTGAGCTCCTCCTCACCCCGCGGAGCCAGAGCCCCCCGTGGGGTCTGCCCTGGGGGGGTCTCACACACGAGTCCTTGGCTCTTGTGCCGGGGGTCCCAGGCCTGAGCTGTGTGCCTCCAGCTGAAGACTGAGTGCTGCCCAAACGTGCCTCGGAGCTGCACGTTGAGGCAGGGACGGGGCTGACGTGGCCTCTCTGCTCTCTCCTAGCTGCCAGCCTTGCCCTCGCCCTCAACGGGGTCTTTACCAACGCCCTGAAGCTCGCCGTGGGGAGGTGAGAAGGTGGCTCACTGCGGGGAGGGGGGACATGTCTGCGCCGTGGCAGAGCTGCAACAGCAGCAGCAAAGGCCAGGAGCTGTTGGATGTGCTCAGCCTGAAGGGAACGTGTTTTTTCTGGCTGTAAAGGCAATTAGAACAAACGCTGGCAGGGACCTGCTGTCTCGGGGCATCGTTTCGATGGGCTCGCCCAGGCCTGTGCTGGGGAGGAGCACTTTGGCAGCAGAGAGGGAGCGGGTGGGATGGTTTCACCTCCCCAGGCTGCATCGTTGGGGTGGCAGAATGTTCCTGTGCTGAGCTGCAGCCAGAGGGGTCTGCTGGTGGCTGGTGACTCGGCCGGCGGTGCTCGGTGTGAGGGCTGGTAGCTTGGGTGGCTCCTGGGAGCCCCAGGGCTACGTGCCTTGTTCTCCTGCCCCAGGCCACGGCCGGACTTCTTCTCTCGCTGCTTCCCCGACGGACGAGCCAACGTGGAGCTGGCCTGCACAGGAGACCCCGGGGTGGTGGCTGAGGGGCGCAAAAGCTTCCCCAGCGGACACGCTTCGTGTGAGTTCCCCGTGTCCCCCTCCCCCTGCAGCCCCAGCCAGCAAGCCGTGGGGAGCAGAAACCCGTGGGGAGGGCAGCTTGGGCTTGCTTTCACACACCCCATGGCTTTGGCCACATCCTTTGGCCTCTTTGGGGGCCTCAGCTTTCCCTCTGCGAAGCAATGGGGAGATAAATGTCATGCGAAGCTTCTGTAGCTCCTGGGAGGAGGGATGCTCACCAGGTACCAGCATCTATGGCTCCTCCATCACTCATGAGCTGGTGCTTCCCTTGTCTCACACCGCAGCCGGGGAGAGGGCGGAGAAGCTGGAACAGTTTCTGAAGGGAAACAATTCTCTTCTAGTTGCCTTTGCTGGTCTTGGCTTCTCTGCCTTCTACGTCGCGGGGAAGCTGCGCTGCTTCACCACGGGCCGGGGGAGCCGGGCTCTGCGCCTCTGTGCCTTCCTCCTCCCACTCTTCCTCGCCACCCTCATCGCCGTGTCCCGCACCTGCGACTACAAACACCACTGGGAAGGTGGGTCAGGGTCTGCACCTGGATGGGGGCACTCGGTGCCGGGGGGAATCCGTGCTGCTGCAGAGGTGGCACCTTAGGGTTTTTGGATCGCTCCTCCTGGGGTAATTACGCTGCTGCCTGCACGGAGATGGTGCCTGTCTCTTTCTTTTGGGAATCTACACCGAGCTCGGTTGGGGGGCTGGTTTTGGAGCAGCTCAGCTCTGCGCTGAGAGGCTGCCTGCTGGAGAATTCCTGCTGGAGAATTCCTGCTGGAGAATTCCGTGGTGAAGCTTGGGCAGATAAAAGGAAATGAACTCTCCTCTGCTCTTGCCCCCAGACGTGCTGGTTGGCTCAGCCATGGGCTTCGTGCTCGCCTACCTCTGCTACAGGCAGTATTACCCTCCTCTGGTGGACTCCCTGTGCCACAAACCGCTTCTGTACAAATCCAGACAAGCACCAGAGCACCAAGAGAAGGTGGCAGCTCCTGGTTTTCCCCTGGAGATATAGCCATGGGCTCCGTCCTGCCGGCACCTCTCCTGCTGCTCCCCCAGGGCTCGGGCAGGGGAAGGCTCTGGGGAGGTCAAAGTGGCTCAAAGGAGGATGAACCCGAAACCCAAGCGGGCGTTCTCTGCAGAGCTGGTGAGTTTTCCTGCTCAGGGGCCCGTGTTGCTTCATTTAACCCGATTTTGGTGGCCTCCCTCCCTTCGGGGCCGCTGTGAAGCAAAGGAGGCGCTGGGCGTGGGAGGACAGCCCGGGAAGGAGAGGTGCTGAAGCAAGAACTGGAAAATTGGGACAATGTGGAGTGCCCTGTCCGGTGGGTCGTCTCGTGTCCGGGCCAGAAAGAGCCATCGGTCCCCTCCCTCCCTTCATTCCAGCCGAGCTCTCCTGTCCCCTCCCTCCTGGGGGGAAACCTGTGTCAAAATGAACTGCGGGATCTGTTCCTGGCACTGAGTTTCAGTCCGTCTGTTCAATCACAGCTGAGCTAATTTGGAGTAACGAGCGCGAGGTCGTGGTCTTTAACCAAGGATTAAGTGGGGGAGAGGGAAGATGAAACTAAATCGTTATTGGTGTTATTGTGCTAGCCTTGATTTATTTTTTTTCCTAACTTGACCAATAAAGGAGTTTAATTTTTTTTAACGAGCTGTGGTACTCAAAGCTTTACAATCATGGCCTGGGTTCATGCTGTTCGTGCTGTATAAACCGATGCCTTTGGTGTGTCCGTGGGGGTTTCCAGGTGGGCGTTTATTTTGTGTCTCTTCCCTTCCAGCTTTAATGTGGGTGTAAAGAGGTGACAATCGGCAGAAAATGCCGTGGTGTCTGGGAGCAGCCCTTGGAGCAGCCCTTCACGGGTGCTTCTTTCCCTGCTCCACACTTTGTTTTCTCAGACAACGGGAGGCTGAGAACTGCCCCCGGGGTGGCAGGGCTGTTGTAAGTAGTTATTTGTCACTCATCTCCACCATAAATATGTGTATTATTATTGTGTACACACAGAGGTGAGGCTGTAGCAGAGCTCAGGACACAACAGTAATGAAAACGCCACCCCATTACCCTCACTCTGGGCCACCTGTGTGACCCTGCAACTTCAACAGGTGTTACAGAAATAGCTTTAATTTCCCCTAAAATAGCACACCTGTGAACTCTTCAGCTGCATCCCCTCCCTCCCCCCCGAACAGGCACACACCGCAGTCATCTACTTGTTTATTTTGGCTTTTACTGGAAAAGACATTAAATAACATTTAAAATTTATTTAACCTTTTTTCTCTTTTTTTTTTTTAACAAAGTGCATAACTTAAAGAGCTGATCATTAGAGCGTCCCGTGTTAAGACTCTTCCTTTTCCTACTCTTCGTAGGAGCCGCTTCAGCCGTGAGGAGCTCGGGCGCCGGCCGAGCAGTGTCTGTTCCTGCAGGCAGGTAAAAGAGCAGCTTCTGTTCCTCGGGGCCGGGAGGGGGGACGGGGGCTGCAAACAAAACCCTTCCCATTGTGCAAATAACGCAGGACAACGGGGGAGAAACGAGCAGGGGGGGGGAAAAAGGCTCCTTACCCCATGCAGGGTGAAAGCGGGAGGGAAAGTGGTTTGGGCTCTTCCCAGGGCTGTGACAGCAATGACCTTACACACCATCAAGTGTCTGCCTTGTCCCCAGGCTCTGGCCACAGCCCAGCCGGGGTGGTTTGGGGTGGTTTGTGTCACCCGGGAGGGATCTGTCCCCATCCCTGTCCCCGTTGGAGCAGAGTGAGCACACCACGGGCAGCCACCGATGGCACTGGGCTCCTTTCTTCACTGGGGTCACTGGGACAGGGTGTCCCCACCCTACAGATCTGGGCTCTGGCCTCGCTGGCTGCATTTTGTGTATTTAAAATGAAAAAAACAAAGAGCCTGGCTGCTGTGAGGTCCCTGTAGCCACCTAGAAAGCCACATGTCAGCAGGATGGCCATGCTGCTCCGTGCCCCTGCGGAGCCAAGGGATGTTCCTCGGGAGCTCCCAACTGCCAGGAGGCTGCTGAGGAGAAGCTGGTTTCCCCTGGCAGGGCTGTAGCTTCCCCTGGCAGGGCTGTAGCTTCCCCTGGCAGGGCTGTAGTTCAACCTGGGGGTGAATCCTCTCCCCTCCAGTCACGCCTGGCCACTAACTTGGTCCTACACAAGACACCCCCAAGGTTTGCTGCCCACCATGGGCTGGGTGAGGATGCCCAGAAGTCACTACCAACCTACTGCAGGCACCAGCACCCGGGTCAAATGCCCCCCAACGAGCTGTTCTATGTCAGTCCTGCCTGGCACAGCCCCTGGGCGCTCACACAAAGCACGCAGCAGCAATCCCAGATGAGAAGGGCTGGTGGGCACCTTCCTGCTTCACAGCCACCATGGGGGCCCTGGGCTTCCCCTCCCACAGCCCACGGTCCTCGGTGTCGGGGTGGGGAGATGTCAGCGCTCTCCTCCGCTCGCCGAGGCTGCTGCAGCTCCTCTCCACGCTGCACGTTTAAGGCTTTTATTCCTCAAGGTCACAAGCTGCGAGTTTCCTCACTGGGCCAGGCCCTTGGTGCCGGTTCCATTTAACCTTTTTTCTCTTCCTAGCCCACACAGCTCTGTTCCTAGCCCAGACAGCTGAGTTCCTAGCCCAGATGGCTGTTCTGCCTCAGTGCCTGAGGAGCCGGTGCGATCGCTCACAAGGTGGAGGGTGTAAAGTTCACGTTGCCACGGGGAGTCACGGTGCGAGTGCTGTGTGTGTTTGAGCAGAGGTGTTTTCCCTCCATATCTCCCCCCGCCTTATCCCTACCCAAAACAGAGGAAAATCGTCCTGATCTCCAGGCAGCAGCGAGTTCTTGGGAAGCGGCATGCAGGGGACACGGCAGCAGAGGAGAGAGGAAGGCAGAGAAGAGATTTGGACTTTCCTGGTGAGTGCTCGGTTGAATTGGATCTAAGGAAGCAGAAGGAGAAGGTGGGAAGATGCGCCGGGGCAGGCCAAACCCTCCAGCAGTTACCAGCCTCAGGCTTCCAGGGTGAGAAGAGCCCAAGATGTGGCTCAGCCTGGTCTCCCCTCGGCCAGGAAAGAGCAGCAGAGGGTGAAAACACCCCTGAAAAGACCACAGGGTCCACGCTCTGGCTCTCTATGTCTATAAGAAATGTTTAGCCTGGGAGGTTTGGAATAGGGGCTGCACCTCTGGTCGCTCCCTTGGTGGACCCAACGGATCATGAACATGGACAGTTGGTCCTAGCCCACACAGCTGAGTTCCTAGCCCACACAGCTCTGTTCCTAGCCCAGACAGCTGAGTTCCTAGCCCAGATGGCTGTTCTGCCTCAGTGCCTGAGGAGCCGGTGCGATCGCTCACAAGGTGGAGGGTGTAAAGTTCACGTTGCCACGGGGAGTCACGGTGCGAGTGCTGTGTGTGTTTGAGCAGAGGTGTTTTCCCTCCATATCTCCCCCCGCCTTATCCCTACCCAAAACAGAGGAAAATCGTCCTGATCTCCAGGCAGCAGCGAGTTCTTGGGAAGCGGCATGCAGGGGACACGGCAGCAGAGGAGAGAGGAAGGCAGAGAAGAGATTTGGACTTTCCTGGTGAGTGCTCGGTTGAATTGGATCTAAGGAAGCAGAAGGAGAAGGTGGGAAGATGCGCCGGGGCAGGCCAAACCCTCCAGCAGTTACCAGCCTCAGGCTTCCAGGGTGAGAAGAGCCCAAGATGTGGCTCAGCCTGGTCTCCCCTCGGCCAGGAAAGAGCAGCAGAGGGTGAAAACACCCCTGAAAAGACCACAGGGTCCACGCTCTGGCTCTCTATGTCTATAAGAAATGTTTAGCCTGGGAGGTTTGGAATAGGGGCTGCACCTCTGGTCGCTCCCTTGGTGGACCCAACGGATCATGAACATGGACAGTTGGTGCTGCCCCTGTCACCTGCAGCAGCGTTTATTGACTCCAAAGGTGCTTTATGTGCAGGGGGAGAGGAAAGGAGCCAAACGTGCTGATGGGCCACAGAAAAAAAAACCCAACACAAACTCCTGCCTTAGACACAGCGCAGGAAATAAGGGAAACCATCCCCTCAGGGGGAGCAGATGGCCTCGGAGGTGCCCGAGGGAGGTGGGAAGGCAGGTGTTGGGCAGGGGGACTTACGTCAAGGAGAGCACAGGGTGGTCACTGGCTTCCTGGCAAAGGTTGATCCAGTGTAATGCCTTGTGTCTGGTAGATCTCCTTCAGAACCAGCAGAACGGTGTCTTCTGACTCCCTGGAGGAGGAGGAGGATGGGGGAGTTAGAGGGGGACACTTCCCTCCCTGCTGCCAGGACCTCTGTGAGGGTTATGGGGTAGATGTGGTGTTCAGTGAATGCAGGTGGTGCCGGGTAAGAAGAACTGTGATGGTCTCCTTCCGTGTCCCTGCCCACCCCCCCTGTCTGCCCTATGGCCAGGAAAATGTCTTGTTTACTCGGGTAAGGCATTTCTTACTACGTTGGCTTTAAAAATGGTGTCACTGCTTACATTGGACCTGAATTTGAAGCTTTGCCAGTTGTGCAGAAGCTTACCAATAGCAGAGGTGCCCTTGTAGTGCAAATAAATACTCGTTGAAGCTCTCTATTGGCTTCTCCTGCAGCACGTAGTCGATGCGATTCCCGCCGTTGAGCCTCCCCACGTTGATGAGGGAGGGCTCTTCCTTCACGGCTGGGGGGGGCTCTTCTGCCTTGGTCTCTGAAGGAATAACGAAGAGCATCATGGTTCAGCCAAGGAGCACCAGCACCCAGGAAGATGCAACAGCAGCCCCGTGCCCTCCCTTTGCCCCACGTGGGTTAGAAGGGACCGTAAAGCCCCCCCAGTGCCACCCCCTGCCCTGGGCAGGGACACCTCCCACCAGCCCAGGTTGCTCCAAGCCCCCTCCAACCTGCCCTTGAACCCCTCCAGGGATGGGGCAGCCACAGCTTCTCGGGGCAACCTGGGCCAGGCTCTCCCCGCCCTCACATCAAACAAGTTCTTCCCCACATCTTGGCTCAATCTCCTCCTTTTCAGTTTAAAACTGTCCCTCTTCCTCCTCTGGCTCCCCTCCCTCACCAAGAGTCCCTCCCCAGCTCTCCTAGCTCCAGGATGCGATGCTGCATCCCAGCTCCCCACTGACCTGGCTGCTTCTCCACGCTGGCCTCTGCCTCCCCTTCGGCCTCGGTACTTGCCCCCTCCAGGGCGGGCATTGGGGCCCGGGTGAAGGACTGCCAGGCCACCCGCAGGGAGCCCAGCAGGTTGTTCTTCAGGTCCACGCTCATACGTGTCAGCCCTTCCTTCAGCTCTGAAAGGCAGGGGGGGGGTCGTTCGTGGGGCTGGGGGCCACAGCCGCTGCCCCGGGGTGGGGGGAGAGGGGCTGCCCTGTCCTTACCGAGGTGCATCCTCTTCCTGCCCTTGTGGTGGGGCAGCAGCATGGGCTCGAACTCCAGGTCGGGGACGATCATGGGCTCGATCCTGTAGGCCACCGGGTCGAACTGTGCAGGGAGGGGGGACAGTGAGCGGGGGCTCGTGCTCCGCGTGTCGCACGGCGGGATGGTGCTGGGGTTTTGGGGTTTGTACCTACCGGGTGGAAGATGTTGAAGAAGCCCTTGCAGGTGGGCAGGCTGTAGTTGGGGTTGATGCGCTTCACTCCTCGCACCGTGAGGAACATCCCGATGGGAGACCCGAAGGCGAAGAAGATGGTGGGTTTGTAGTCCAGCTGCGGGTAGTTTGCCGAGACCTGGGAATGAGGGAGGTGGGGGTTTGTTCCAGGAGACACCCTCCGTGCTGGTGTTACGGGGGCCTCCTTGTTGCCGTTGGAGCACGTGCTGAGCTCGGTCCGTACCTGTCCTAAGCCCACGTCCCGGTATTGGCAATTCCCATCGTCCTGCTGTGATGGGGACCCAGGCTCCGCTCCGCGCTCCCCGCCGTGCCCGGGGCCTGCTGTGCTCTGGTCCTGCAGCGACACAACAGGAACCTCTGCTGTCCACGGGTTATAGAATCATAGAGTTGTCCAGGCCGGAAGGGACCTCCAAAGGTCATCTCGTCCCACCCCCCCGCAGTCAGCAGGGACACCCCCAACTAGACCAGGTTGCCCAGGGCCTCGTCGAGCCTCACCTTGAATATCTCCAGGGAAGGGGCCTCAACCACCTCCCTGGGCAACCTGTTC